TCCTTTTAGTGCTGCCCTAAAAATCATTGCAGTTTTACCACTTCTCCTGTAACCCTGATGTTCACCACTCATCCAACCCACTGCTCTCTCTTACCCAAGTTCTTTTTTTTTTTTTTTTAATTTTTATTTTATTTATGATAGTCACACAGAGAGAGAAAGAGGCAGAGATACAGGCAGAGGGAGAAGCAGGCTCCATGCACCGGGAGCCCGACGTGGGATTCGATCCTGGGTCTCCAGGATCGTGCCCTGGGCCAAAGGCAGGCGCCAAACCGCTGCGCCACCCAGGGATCCCTCTTACCCAAGTTCTTGGAGTGGCATCCCAACTTGGGCTTCTTGCTTCTGCTCTTGCCTCTATATTTGCCTCCCAGTATAGCAACCAGAGAGAGCCTATTAAAAACATTAGTCTCCTGAAAACTCTCCAGTGGCTTCCCATGTCATCTATTGCTGTTATTGTCGGAAAACTGAAACTTGTGTTCTTTCTCTCACCTTATTGACTACTCAGATCCTTCTACTCTTTAACATCTCCAATCCGCAGGCCTCTTTCCACTTCTCAAACATAGGCAAGCTGCCACCTCAGGGCCTTTGGACTTGTTGTACCTTCTTATGGCCTACTCCTTACTTCAGTGATGTTAGTTAAGCCTTCCCTGGCAACCTTGTATAAATCTAAATCCTTCCCGAAACCTGCCCAACATTTCATACTCTGCTTCTCTGCTTTAATTTTTCTCCTTACCACTTAATTACTATATGACATATAATTTTTTTATTCAGCTCCCCAGAGCATCAGGTTCGAGTACAGGATTTTTGTCTATAGCACACCAATGTCTAGAACATACTAGAAAGCAATAAATTTTAATAAAATGTTGGATAATGTTTCCCAATTAGGAATGATCTTGGTTTTTTTTTTTTACTTAAGGGTAATGTACATCATATTTATCGTATAATACTTCTGTTATTTAGTTTTTTAAATAAAAAAATAATGTGAAATACTTTTTTAGCATCTATGGTGATAATCATGTGGTCTTTATTTTTACGTGTATTAATATGATGATTTACTTTAATACCTTTCCTAATATAGCAGTTATGGAATAAATTTCAGAAATGATTTAATATGCTCCTAAATTCTTTTTACCAGTATTTTGTTAGGAATTTCTTTATTATTATTTATAATTGAGGTTTTCTTTTTTTATTTATTTATTTTTTTATTTTACCATTTCATTTATTGGTGTTCAATTTGAGGTTTTCTTTTTATATAGTCTTTAGACATTGCTAAAAATATTATAAATACCGAACTCATAAAAAGAATTTGGATAATTTCCTTTTCTTGTGATCTAGAAAAATGATATAGTATTAGAATTATTTTTTCTTTAAATGCTTCCTAGAATTCTTTTTTTTTTGTTTTGTTCTTTTAATATTTATTTGTTCATGAGAGACACACAGAGAGGCAGAGACACAGGCAGAGAGAGAAGCAGGCTCCAGGCAGGGAGCCCGATGTGGGATTCAATCCTGGGACCACAGGATCACACCCTGAGCTGAAGGCAGATGCTTAACCGCTGAACCACCCAGGTGTCCCAACTTCCTAGAATTCTTCTGTGAAACCTGGGTCTTGCTTGGTAGAAATGATCATTCTTTGTTTACTTTATTTCTTTGTGGATATGGGTTTGCTTAGGAAAATTTCTATCTTTTGTGGTCAGTTTTGTTGAATTATATTTCCTTAAAGTAATTTTTTCATTCATGTTTTCAAATTGATTTGCACAGAGTTGACCAAAATAGTCTGTCATTTAAAAATTTTGTCTGTGGTATATTTTCCCAGTTGACTAATTTTATGTATTTGGGCTTTTATTTTTTTGCCCCACCAGGTTAGGTAGTTGTTGTTTTTCTATTTTTCTTTTTCCTTTTTCCTTTAAAAGAACCATCTTCTGGGTTTTTAATTTTTAATTCTAATTTACTGTTTCAGACTTAACTAATTTTTGCTTCTGTCTTTAGTAGTAATTTCTCCTTTCCTGTGGTTTATTTTATTGTTACTTCTTTAAGGCAGATGCTTATTTTTTTATTCTTTTTTTTTTAAGACTTTATTTATTTATTCATGAGAGACAGAGAGAGAGGGGCAAAGACATAGGCAGAGGGAGAAGCAGGCTCCCTGTGGGGAGCCTGTTGTGGGACTCAGTCCCAGAACCCCCGGATCATGACTTGAGCCAAATGCAGATCAGATGCCCCTATTTTTTTATTCTTAATTCTGTAGGAAGGTACCATTTTTTTCACATTGCTCTGAAGAATTTTGTCTTTAGTTTTGGAAAATATATCCTGGCATGGAGTTCTTGGAGTTTATCCGTTTTTGGGGTTCACACAGCTCGAATATGCAGATTGGTTTCTTTGGCCAAATGTGGGGGATTTTCAGCCATTATTTATTTTTTTTAAAGATTTTATTTTTATTTATTCATAGAGACAGAGAGAGAGGCAGAGACACAGGCAGAGGGAGAAGCAGGCATCATACAGAGAGCCTGACGTGGAACTCGATCCACGGTCTCCAGGATCACGCCCTGGGCTGCAGGCAGCGCTAAACCGCTGCGCCACCGGGGCTGCCCAGCCATTATTTTTCTAAAACTTTGTCAGGTCTTCCCTCTTTATCTCCTTCCTGGAACTTCAGTGACATGAGTTCTAACATCTTTTGTTAGAATTCCATAAATCCCTGATCCTCTTAATTATTTTTCAGTATCTTCTCTGTTGCTTAGATTGGGTGCTTTCTGTTGCTTTATCTTCAGGTTCACAGATTTTTCTCCCCGCTCTGACTTTGAGTCATTGAATTTTTAATTTATTTTGGTTATTGTATTTTTCAGTTCTAAATTCCCATTTGCTTCTTCTTTGTATCTTTATTTGCTGAGACTTTCTGTTTCTTTGCTGAGATTTTTGTATTTTTTTTTTCATGTAAGCAAGTTAGTGATTTCTTATTAAAGCATTTTTATGATGGCTGCTTTAAAATCCTTGTTAGAGGGATGCCTTGGTGGCTCAGTGGTTGAGCGTCTGTCTTTGGCTTAGGCATGATCCTGGGGTTCTGGGATCGAGTCCTGTATCGGGCTTCCTGTGAGGAGCTTGCTTCTCTCTCTGCCTGTGTCTCTGCCTCTCTGTGTCTCTCATGAATAAATAAATAAAATCTTTAAAAATTAAAAAAAAAAATCCTTGTTAGGTAATTCTAGCTTCTGTGTCATCTTGGCGTTGGTGTTTGCTGATTGTCTTTTCATGTTCACATTTAGAATTTTCATATTTAAGCCTTTTCCTAATTCTTTGTGTAGTAAGTTATTTTATATTATATCTTGGGCATTTAGGTCGTGTATTATGAAACTCCAGATCTTATTTAAATCTTCTGTTTAAGCAGGCTCCCTCTGATACTATGCCAGTGGCAAAGTGCCACCTACTGCCAAGTTGGAGGGGGTCAAAGTTTAGGGTCTCTACTCAGCTTCTATTGTCACCCTGGTGATGGATGGAGCTGGGAGTTCAGACACCACATTGGATGAACAGAGCAGGGATGCCTCATGACTTTATGGCTTCCAATGACAGCAGGATTGTGGGAATTAGGAAGGAGGAGATTGTTACCATTGAAGAGTGGTGAAAATCCTAACTTTCTACTAGACCTCTCTGTCACCACCCTAGAGGAGAAGAAGAGGGACTTGTTACCACCTGGTAAGAATGAAAGTCTAGAGTCCCCACGTATTCTCCAACAGTGTTGGGGGTGTCCTTCTTACCGCTGAGCTGTTCCACCTCTCTTCTTGGCCTTTTCTGACAGTATTCCCAGTTTGAAGGAGAGTTGCCTGGTTATAGCCTGGTGAACACAGAAGTCTAGGCTCTCCATTTGGCTTTTGCATGTTTGTCAAAAATTAATTGACCAAATGTGTGTGGGTCTGTTTCTGGACTCTGTTGTATTTCATTGATCTGTTTGTCTATCTTTACGCTAATATTATACTCTCTTAATTATCATAGCCCTCTAACTTTGTTCTTTTTTCAAAGTTGTTGTAGCTATTCTGGGTCCTTTGTATTTCCATTTAAATTTTAAAATTGGCTTGTCAACTTGGCCATACTCCTGTTTCTATCACAGGTTAGCAGTGTAATAAGAAAACATGATTGTGTGTTGCCTAATTTTACAGTCTTTATTAAATATAAATAGTTAAAACATGTTCAAAAACTGTGTGAGAGGGGCAGCCCTGGTGGCTCAGCGGTTTAGCGCCACCTTCAGCCCAGGGCCTGATTTGGACACCTCCGATCAAGTCCTGTGTCAGGCTCCCTGCATGGAGCCTGCTTCTCCTCTGTCTGTGTCTCTGCCTCTCTCTCTCTCTCTTGTGTGTGTCTCATGAATAAATAAATAAAATCTCAAAAAAAAAAAGTGTGAGAAAATTTCAAAAGTATAGATTAAAAAAAAACCTAAAAGATACATTAAAATCACCTAGACTGGGATCCCTGGGTGGCTCAGCGGTTTGGCACCTGCCTTTGGCCCAGGGCATGATCCTTGAGTCCTGGGATCAAATCCCACATCAGGCTCCCTGCATGGAGTCTGCTTCTCCCTCTGCCTGTGTCTCTGCCTGTCTCTCGTAAATAAATAAATAAAATCTTAAAAAAAAATAAAAAATAAAATAAAATCACCTAGACTTTTAGTTTTAAAAGATCATTAAAATGTAGATTATAAAATGCAATTATACATAATACATATGTAGACATGAACATATTGAGTATTTATGTAGAGATATATATGTGCAGATATACACATATTTATTTATATACAGAGAAGACAGTTTGGGAGTTTATATATCAAAATATTAGTAATGATTATCTTTGAGGGCATGATAAAGGATAAACTATGTTTAATCTTACCGCATTATTCTCATTCAACTATTGAAAACTAATGGAAGAATTGTTCTATTACTATTGGTATACTTGTAAATCTGGTATAGTAAAAATTAAATGAGATTAGAAATTATTTTTCCTTTTCATTTTCTTTATTTTTTTCAAAATAGTTTCATCAGAGTCCCTTTCTACTCTCAAGTATCAAGAAGAAACGGGTTAGTAAACAGTGCAAGTTTGTACGTCTTCCATTTGCAAGGTAATTGCTTCAAACTTAGTTAAATACTTGCCTAGATAATGCTTTGCACAGTTTTTATTTGGTCTTCTTTCTTGAAACGTAGAAAAAACATTTCAAAGTAAATAACGAAATACTTGTTAACGTTGTACCAGTTTCTTGTTAACATTGTACCAGTAGAAGAAATTGAAGACATAGTCTAATAGAACTGAAATAATATTCAGCTTTCCCATAGACTCTAGAGAAGAAAGAGGCAAAAGTGAACCTTTAGTTTCATGGGTTTGAATTATACTGGTTCAGAGGGTTTAGATTTTTATGTAACACATTCATTATTTTTGTGTTACAGTGTTTGGGTTTCATCAACATGTGCTTGCCTAGTAAAGTAGGAATGAGATGATCTGTAGTTCTTGGTACAGGTTATATCTCCAGGGTTCCAAAGAGACTTATGCATCAATTCAGTAACCACAAGGATGTGTAGTATGCTGGTACTCTTTGGTTCTTTTCTTTCTTTTCCCCTAGGTCTCCACTGGCATCATGTCTTCTGCTGGGTAAATCTAATAACTATTTCTATCTTTATTATCTTGCATACTGCTCCAAGCTTCATCTATTTTTTTTTTAAAAAGATTTTTATTTATTTGATAGAGAAAGAGAGAGCACAAGCAGGGGGAGTGGCAGGCAGAGGGAGAGGAAGAATCAGGCTCCCTGCTCAGGTCTCAGTCCCAGGGCTCAGTCCCAGGATCCTGGGATCATGACCTGAGCTGAAGGCAGACGCTTAACCAACTGAGCCACCCAGGCGCTCCTGCTCCGAGCTTTAAAATTAACTTTGACCATTGCTATTCTTCTGACCAAAATGACCATTTCTTGATTAGTTTGATTATAAATGATTATAAAATTGAGTGTTCTATCAGTGTTCTATCCATATTATTTAGATATTATGGATTTTCTCTTTTACTGAATAGTTATTGCACATCTTAGATTTTTCTTACTTATTAGATGTTTAGTGGTATTCTGAATGATATTGTTTTTAAATTTCATTTTCTTCTTGATGCTAGTATGTAGAAATACAATTGATTTTTAAATATTGACCTTGTTTCCAGTGACCTTGCTATTAAATTTTTATAGTTTATCTGTAGTTTTTTTCCCCATTTTCTATGAATGTAATTTTATTATTTAGAAATAGGACAATTTCCCCTTCTCCCCTTCAGTTTGTAGGCCTTTAATTTTTTTCTTACCTTATTTCAGTGACTATTTTTTGTTCAATAATGAATAAAAGTAGTAATGATGGGTATCCTTATTGTGTTTGCCTTATCTAATATGTTTGCCTTTGGTGTTTTGTAGATTCTTCTTAAAAGATTGAAAACTTCCTTTGTACTCCTAGTTTTCATGAATGGCTTTTTAATTTTATCAAATGCTTTTTATGTCCTATCAAGAACATATTACTTTTTTTCTCTTTTCTATTATTTTTAATATTTTTCTATTAATATAATGAATTTTAAGGATTGATATTTAAATATTAAATCAGTATTACAGTTCTACAGTGAACTGCTCCTAATGATACATCCTTTATATATCACTAAATTTTACTTGATTATTATTTTTTTGTTAAAGATTTATTTATCCATTCATGAGAGACATAGAGATACTTGATTATTTTTTAAAGGATTTTTCCTTGTATGTTAATAATAAAGATGTTTTATAATATTTCATTATTAAAATAATTTGTCAAATCCTGGTATTTATTATGCTGGCATAGTAAATGAATTGATAAGTGCACTTATTTTTTATTTTCTATAAGTATTTGTGTAAATATATTTTTTTCCTTTAAGTGTTGGGGAGAAATTATCCGGGCCTTCAGGTTTTCTTGTGGAAAGGTTTTTTTATTATATCCTATTTTAATAGATACAGGAATATTCTGATTTTCTATTTTTTCTTGTGTCAAGTTTCTTATTTTTTCTCAGTTTTTCCATTTTATCTAAAATATCAAATTATTAGCATCTAATTGTTTATAATTCCTCTAGTTACATCTTTTTCTTTCTTAATATTGACTGTATTTTATCAATATTTTCTTGATGAGTTGTGTTCTAGGGATTTATTAGTTTTATTCATCTATGCAAAATGAATCCTTTTTTGGACTATGTAGATCTTTCTTTTTAACATATTTGTTTCCTGTTGCATTTAATCTGCTCTTTATTATTTCTTTCTGTTTTGCTTTTTCTTTCTTTTCAATTTAAAAGTTTTATTATTACTGCTATTATTTGTTTCTTGAGCTAGTTTAGATTATTATTTAGCCTTTCTTTTCAAAAAAAAATTTTTTTTAAAGACACATTTATTCAGGGTCATGATCAGACTATTATATTTAGCAATCAACAGCATGGGTGCAAAGAAAAAATCTACCTTAAAACCCTTTGTTGGAATGCTTTACACTTTCCACAGAACAGAAACTAAAATAACCTATTATACAATTAGTCACAAATATAGTCCTCGAGTTTTTTGCCCATGCACATGAGTATTGTCTAAAACATGTCTTCTTTGTAGCAGCTAGGCCCTGCCACCACTGTGCCTGGCTGAGTTCACAAATCTGTTGTAACCTGTAGTTTCCCTGTCACTTCTCTGGCTCTCCTCTCCTGCTAAGCTTTGTTTCCTGGCAGTAATTAAAACTTTCTGCCACTGCCATAGCTGCTGCTGCTGCTGGACCTGCCATAGCCACCTTGGTTTCGTGGTTTGGCAAAGTATTGGCCTCCACCACCATAGGGGCCAGAGCTTCTGCCTCCAAAATTTCCTCCTTTCGGGATCCCTGGGTGGCGCAGCGGTTTGGCGCCTGCCTTTGGCCCAGGGCACGATCCTGGAGACCCAGGATCGAATCCCACATCGGGCTCCCGGTGCATGGAGCCTGCTTCTCCCTCTGCCTGTGTCTCTGCCTCTCTCTCTCTCTCTCTGTGTGTGACTATCATAAATAAATAAATAAAAATTAAAAAAAACAAAAAAAATTTCCTCCTTTCATGGGTCCAAAATTTGAGGATTGATTGTTGTAATTGCCAAAATCGTTATAGCTTCTGCCACCTCCAAAGTTGCTTCCACTACCACCGCCATAGCTGCCTCCGCCTCCTCCGTTGTTATAGCTGTCATAGCTGCCACTCCCGCCATAGCCACTGCCCTGGTTTCCATAACCCTGTCCACCACTTCCATAGCCTCTGCTTCCTCCAGAGTAACCAGGGCCGCCGCCTCCATAACCACCATCATTACCAAATCCGTTATAGCCATCCCCACTGCCACCGTATCCACCACCACCTCGACTGCCACCGAAGCCACCTCGACCACTGAAGTTCCCTCCACGACCAAAGTTGTCATTCCCACCAAAACCACCTCCACGACCACCACCAAAGTTTCCAGAACCACTTCAGCCTCTTTGGCTGGACGAAGCACTAGCCATCTCTTGCTTCGATAGGGCTTTCCTTACTTCACAGTTGTGGCCATTCCCAGTATGGTATTTTTGAATGACAGTCTTGTCTACAGAGTCGTGGTCGTCAAAGGTCACAAAAGCAAAACCTCTCTTTTTGCCACTGCCTTGGTCAGTCATGATCTCAATCACTTCAATTTTCCCATACTGTTCGAAATAATCTCTTAGATGATGTTCTTCAGTGTCTTCTTTAATGCCACCGACAAAAATCTTTTTCACAGTTAAGTGGGCACCGGGTCTTTGAGAATCTTCTCTGGAGACCGCCCTCTTTGGTTCCATGACTTCCGTCCACCTTGTGCGGCCGCGCGTTCATGGCTGCGTCCACCTCCTCCATGGTGGCCTACGTGACGAACCCAAAGCCTCTGGAGCGCTTGGTGTCTGGATCTCTCATTACCACACAGTCCGTAAGCGTCCCCCATTGCTCAAAATGGCTCCTCAGACTCTCATTGGTTGTTTCAAAGCTCAAACCTCAGATGAAGAGTTTCTGCAGCTGCTCGGGGTCTTTGGGAGACTCTGACTTAGACATGACGGCGGTGGGAGGAGAGACTTTAACGATGCTTACTCGGCGGCGTCCAGGGGCAGAAAGGAGTAATCTTACGAACGTGTCTTCAAAATATTTTTAAAGGTTTATTTAGCTGCACCACACAATTTTTGATGTGCCATATCCTTATTACCATTGAGTTTAAAATATTTTCTACTTTCTATTCTGATATATTCTTTGAATCATGGATCATTAACTAGCATATTAAATTTCCAGTCAGCTGGATATTTTTTTTCTAATTACTTTTTTTTGCTGATTTCTAGCTGATGTCCATTGTAGTTATGGAACATGAATCAAATGATTTTGATCTTTTGAAATATATTAATATTTGCATTAGGACACTGCTTGGTCTAACTTGGTAAATATTTTGGGTACACATAAAAAGAATATGTATTTTGTGGTTGTTGGATACAGTACTTTGTATCAGTTGTGTCAGGTTTATGGATTATATTGTTCGAAACTTCCATACCGTTCTTGCTTCTGTCATCTCTTCTATAAGCTACTGATAGAAATGCATTAAAGTCTGCCACTATGATTCATGTATTTCTCCTTTTAGTTTTGTCAATTTTTGCTTTACGTGTTTTAAAGTTCTTAGTAAACACATTTAAGTTTAGGATTGAGGGATGCCTGGGTCATTCAGTGGTTAAGCATCTGCTCAGGTGATCCCAGGGCCCGGGAATCAAGTCCTACATCAAGCTCCCTGCAAGGAGCCTGCTTCTCTCTCAGCCTATATCTCTGCCTCTCTCTCTGTGTGTCTCTCATAAATAAATAAATAAAATCTTTAAAAAAGTTTAGGATTAATTTGTTTTCCTGATGACTTGTTTTATCAATATGAATTACTTATAGAAATTATTCTTGCTTTAAGTCTACTTGTCTGATACAGCATTTCTCTGGTTTTCTATAACTTTACTTTTAAATTCTGTTAATTTAAAAGGCATATAAGTGCTTTTTTAAAAAATTAATTCATTGTAGCATCTTTTAATTAGAATATTTAGTATGTTTGCATTTAATATCATTGACAATATAATTGGATTTATATATGCCATCTAGTTGTTTTCTATTTGAGCAGTCTGTTTTATATTGTTTCTCTTCTTTCTTGATTTCTTTGGAAATAAAATGTTTTCCATTATTTTTCTTATCTATTAACTTGTTATCTTCTACTGTTCTTTTATGAGTACTCTAGTGACAGCAACATTCATCCTTAGATTTTTTTTAACTTTCATACATACATATATTTTAATCCCACAAATTACTACTTTCATTGTTTTGTGTAGCCAAGATTCATTTAAATCACATACATATTTAACTTTTCTATCTTTTTCATATTGTTTCCTATATTTTTAGTTGTATACCCATTCACAGTTGTTTTCCTCAGCTTCAATGAGGTAAAATTCACAAATAAACTGCTTTCATTTTGAGATTCCTTTTTAAGATAATTTTTCTAATGCTGAAAGAAATTCTTTTTATTTCTTTTAATGCAGGTCCTGGCAATGCATTCATTCAGCTTTTGTTTTTCTAGGAACATACTTATTTCATCTTCATTTCTGGAGTATGTTTGCAATTACAAAATTTTAAGTTGGGAATTATTTTTAGCAATTTAAAAGTGTTATTTTATTGTCTGTGGCATCTGTCTTTTCTTTTGAAAAGTTAGTACCTTTTTTGCAAATTGAAGAAAAACTTTCCTCTTTATTCTGGTTTGCTTAGTGTTTTTTTTTTTTTTTAATTTTTATTTATTTATGATAGTCACAGAGAGAGAGAGAGGCAGAGACACAGGCAGAGGGAGAAGCAGGCTACATGCACCGGGAGCCCGATGTGGGATTCGATCCCGGGTCTCCAGGATCGCGCCCCGGGCCAAAGGCAGGCGCCAAACCGCTGCACCACCCAGGGATCCCTGCTTAGTGTTTTTATAATGAATTTATATTGAATTATGTCAAATTTTTTTCTATATCTGGAGATAATCATGACTTTTCTCCTTTATATCTGGTTTCATCCATGTTTTTTATCAGTTTTTTTTCTATTTCATGTTTCATTGGTGACTGCTCTTTATTATTTCCTTTATTCTACTTAGTTTTAAAAAATTGAGATCTACTTCATTTGACAGTGTGGTGACTTCAGTTTATTGGCATTAAAACAAACTTCTATCTCAAATTCTACGTGGTCATGGTATATTATTCTTACTATATATTAATGGATAGGATTTGATAACTTTTTCTTTAAATTTTTTTATCTGTATTTATAAGGGATATTGGTCTATAATTTTCTTACTGTATCTTTGATGAGTTTTAATAAGAGTTGTGCTGGCTTTGTAAAACAAGATTAGAAGCATTCCCTCTTTCTCCATTTTTTGAAAGAGTTTGTACAACTGGGATTTCTTCCTTAAATGTTTGAAAGAATTAAAGAGAGAACATATTTGGACCTGAGTTTTTAATTATTAATTTGATCTCTTAAATAAATATAAGGCTTTTCAGATTTTTTCTATTATTTTCAAGTCAATTTAGAAAATACTTGTGTTGGGACGCACGGGTGGCTCAGTGGTTGAGCATTTGCCTTTGACTCAGGGCGTGATCCTGGAGCCCCACATCGGGCTCCTTGCATGGAGCCTGCTTCTCCCTCTGCCTTTGTCTCTGTCTCTCTGTCTCTCTGTCTCTCTGTCTCTCTCTGTCTCTCTGTCTCTCTCTCTCTCTCTGTCTCTCTCTCCATGTCTCTCATGAATAAGTAAATAAAATCTTAAAAAAAAAAATTTGTCTTTCCAAAAATTCATCTACTTCTTCTAGGCAGTCAAGTTTATTGGTATAAAGTTGTTTATAATATACCCTTATTATTCTTTTTTTTTTTTATTATTTATGATAGTCACACACACACACACACAGAGAGAGAGAGGCAGAGACATAGGCAGAGGGAGAAGCAGGCTCCATGCACCGGGAGCCCGACGTGGGATTCGATCCCGGGTCTCCAGGATCGCGCCCTGGGCCAAAGGCAGGCGCTAAACCGCTGCGCCACCCAGGGATCCCTTATTATTCTTTTAAAGCCATCTGTAGTGAGGATCTTTTCTCTCATCGTTGATATTGGTAATTTGTATCACTTTTTTTTTAACTTATCAAGCTAGCTATATTATTGTCAATTTTATTGATCCCTTTAGAGACTCAGCTTTTGGTTTCATTGATTTTTTTTTTTTTTAAGATTTTATTTTTTTATTCATGAGAGGCACAGAGAAAGAGGCAGGAGAAACAGGCTCCCTATGGGGAGCCCAATATGGAACTTGATCTCAGGACCCCGGAATGATGCCCTGTGCCAAAGGCAGATGTTCAACCACTGAGCCACCTAGGTGTCCCAGTTTAATTGATATTTTTTGTCAATTTTTCTTTCATTTCATATTTCATTAGTGTCTGCTCACTTTTTTTTCTGTTTAAAATTTTATTTATTTATTCATGAGAGACACACACACACAGAGAGAGAGAGAGAGAGAGAGTCAGAGACACAGGCAGAGGGAGAAGCAGGCTCCTTGCAGGGAGCCTGATGTGGGACTCGATTCTAGGACTCCAGGATCAGGCCCTGGGCCTAACGCAGGCGCTAAACCGCTGAGCCACCCAGGGATCCCCGTCTGCTCATTATTATATCCTTTGTTCTACTTATTTTTGAAATTTGAAGTATAATTTACATAAAGTTTTTCATAACATTAAGTGCATCCTTTTAACGTGTACAGTGGATTTTAATGTATTCACAAAATTGTGCAATCCTCACCACTAAATTCGAGAATATTTCCATCACTTCAGAAAGAAAGCCTGTATTCATATACAGTCACTTCCAGTTTTCCTCTTCAGGCCCCGTCAACCACTAATCTGTTTTCTGTGTCTATGGATTTGCCTATTTTGGACATTTCATATGAATGGAATCACACAATATGTGGCCTTTTGTGTCTGACTTCTGCCTAGAAGAAGTAGATGATTTTTGGGAAAGACATAGCATAATATTTTCAAGTTTCATTCATTTTGTAGCATATGTTACTATTTCATTCCTTTTTATGACTGAATAAGTTTCTGTTTTTTGGGAATCCCTGGATGGCTTAGCGGTTTAACACCTGCCTTCAGCCCAGGTCATGATCCTGGAGTCCCGGGGTCAAGTCCCACATCAGGCTCCCTGCATGGAGCCTGCTTCTCCCTCTGCCTGTGTCTCTGCCTCTTTCTCTGTGTCTTCCATGAATAAATAAATAAAATCTTTAAAAAAAAAAAAGTTTCTGTTGTTTGCGTATATCTTATTTTGTATATCCATTCAGTTAATGAACGTTTGTGCTATTTTTACTTTTTGACGATTCTGAACAGTGGTGCTATGAACATTCATGTAAAAGTTTTTGTGTGGACATAGTTTTCAGTTTCTGCCAACAAGTAGAATTACTGAGTCATATAACTATAACTTTTGGAGGTGGTGCCAAACCATTTTACAAAGCTGCTGCGTTGTTTTACATTTCCACCAGCGAAGTATTAGGGTCACAGTTTCTTTGCATCCTTACCAATACTTGTTATTATCTATGCTTTTGATTATAGCCATCTAGTTGGTATAAAGTGGTATTTCATTTTGATTTTGATTTTCATTTCCTTGATAATATTAATAATATTGAGAATTCTTTCATGCTCAGTATTTTCTTTGAGCATGTTTTCATGAGTGTTTTATATCAGGAACATTCTCTATTTGGTTATCTTTTTCCCTTGAGTTTGAACACTTTTTTCCTGTTGCATTATATTTTGAATAATATTGGATTATATGCTGGACATGTGAGTCCTATGTTATAGAAAGTCTGGATTCAGGTGTGTTCCTCCAACAAATTTGTGTTTTATTTTACTAGGCAATTACCTTGTCTGAACTCAAACTTATTATTTTCCTGTAAGTGGTAACATATGAAATCTCATTTTAGTTATTTTATCCTTAGCTGGCCTGGTTGGAATCTTCGTCACATATGTATGATTTTTGGGTCAGCCAGAGATGGGGAGAGGAACAATTCACACACAAAATTTGGGTCTCCCCTCTCTACCTGTTATTTCCCCATCACACATACTTTTGCATCTGTCTTAATTGTTAATTCTTACCTTGAATCAGTAAGAATATAGATTTCTAACTTTTTAAAAATGTGGCACTGGCTGAGGTTGTAAACTCACCTTTTTTTTTTAAGTATCACTCGCTCTTTATTAACTATTTGCTTTTTGTTTACTCTCCAGTTACTTTAGGTAGTTTTTAAAAATATTTTATCCAGAATTTATAGTCATTATGTTTGATAGGGCTGATTCAAAAATAGCTATTCAGCCATTATCAGAAACATAACCTCTTAAATATCTGTGATTTGTTTGGCATTTAAGACAAAATCTTTATCATTGGGGGATATTAAGTCTCATTCTTTGAATTCAAGGTCAGTTTAATTATTTCTGTCTGTTTATATCTCCCTGCAGCCAAATAGATTTAACTACTCTAGGAATATGGCCTTAGTTTACATGGATACCTTTTGGCACATAGGAAACTTTAGTTCACACTTAACTTTACATACAACTGTACTTATTGAAACTATAGGAAATTTTTTGGTTATTCCATAAAATTAACTGTAAGAAAGCTGTAAATATTATATGAGTATTTGTTAATATGTTTGAAGTTTATTTGTTTTATTAGTATTATTACTCTTAATAGCCCAACCAGTGGTTATATCAGTTATCTCTTTCTGAGGCCACTGGGGCTCTGGGGTAAGAAGCATTCCTGTTTTATTCCAAGTTCTATACTATTAGAAACTATCTCTTTCCTACCTATAATTGTCTTCATTGAACATAAAAAGATACCAGAGTGGGCTTGTGGTTAGATCTTAAATAAATGGCATATAAAAAGAACTATCTATGTAATTTTCTAAATAATTTTTGTAAAATACAAAATTCGTCATTCATTTCCACCTGCATTTAGGGTTCCATTAACTTCAAATGATGATGATGATGATGATGATGATGAGAAAGAGAAAGAGAAAATGCAATATGATGACAGTGCTATATCAAAGATATCACCTGATATTCCCTCTTCGGTATCAACAGGGCAACCTTTATCAAGTCAGTATGATTTGTAATTGTTATTTCTTAAAGAAAATAATCATAATATGTGTGGTTTAGATGATTCAGACATATTTTTTCTATTTTTGATATGTTTCCCAAAGGTGAGATTTTAAAAAAAATTTTAATATCAATATTAAAAAGTTATATTCATCAGACTTTTTTGCTTGAGGCCCATGGTTTATAAACAGTTAATAAGGTAGCTCTCTTATGTTATAGATTTGCTAACTTCCATCATTTAAAACTACTAGTGAAAAATTTAATTTTTATTGTATTTTTTTTTCTAAGATTTTATTTATTTATTCATGAGAAACATAGAGAGAAGCAGAGACACAGGCAGAGAGAGAAGCAGGCTCATCACCAGGAGACTGATGTGGGACTCGATCCCAGGAGCCTGGGATCATGACCCAAGCCAAAGGCAGATTCTCAACCGCTGAGCCACTACCCAGGTCCCCCTGAAAAATTTAATTTTTAAATAAACATGCTGATAAATATCAGATCCACAGTGGCCTAATGCTGTTATTCTGCGAGCAGTATTTAAAAATGAGTCAGCCTTGGGATCCCTGGGTGGCTCAGTGGTTTAGCACTTGCCTTGGGCCCAGGGCGTGATCTCGGAGCCCCGGGATCGAGTCCCACGTCGGGCTTCTGCATGGAGCCTGCTTCTCCCTCTGCCTATGTCTCTGCCTCTCTGTGTCTCTCATGAATAAATAAATAAAATCTTTTTTTAAAAAAATAGAGTCAGCCCAAAGAGCTTTTCTTGGTATCTTTTTAGTTTACAAATTGAAAGATGCCATATATTTATTTAGTTTCATCTTTTCCTTTTCATAGACAAAAAAAAAAAAAAAAAAAAAAAAATTGGAGGGACCTAAATAGATTTTGTTACTTTTTGAGGATCAAAGCCAAAGCAAAAACTTGAGCCTGGGTAATAGTTGAGCCAGAGGAAATGATGATACTTACGTTTTATTTACACAGTTATTTCTAAAATAATCCTTCAGGGGAGTCTGGCTTATGTATTTATCATAGATTTGCAGATTGGATTATAGAACCATAAGTATATTTGATTTAGAGCTTAGAATTGTTTTTCCTTTATAAAAATTTATGTGTGTATGTATAATTTATATAAACCTTAGGTGCCTGCTGATTGTCTTTCAATAGTAATACTTGTCAGACTTATCACTGTTATTTGGGTTCATTTGCTGGCCTCCTCTGACTTTAGAAATGTAAGTTAGTGGTTCTACCATCAGATGTATTCCACTCCACTGTTGGGGCCAAGGCAGAGTGAATTCTTAATATATATTGTCCATAAATACAATGTAAAATGTAACTTATGAATACTCTGGTCATTTCTACTTTATTTTTATCAGCATAGATTCTTTTTAAGTATCTGAACAGAATACACTATCAGGATCCTTTCTGTGAAACAGCTTGATTTTTACTGTTTGTTTAAAATAACAAATTCATTGTCATTACTTCTGAATTTTCTTTCCCTTTATTTTTTCCACTCAGACCAAAGTTCCGTTAGTTCTCTAATGAGTGAGATGAAAAATGCCCAGTCGATCAGCCACAGAAAGGAGAAGCCATCTCTCAGTAATGTAACCGAAAGGAAGAAACATGTATTATCTCAGGAATTAAATAATCCTGTCAGTCCTCATATGACAGATTTAGATCAACAACACATTTCAAGTCCAGAATTAAATTGGAATAATAAGATAAATTATCATACTAATGAAAAGAATATTGAAATGCAAGGAAACATCCAATGGCTTCCTGTCTCATCTGAGTCTACAAGCGAACCTACTGCAGAGTACAAGAATCCATTTCAAGGTAGTGATGACTTTCAGTTGCAGAAAACTGTGTATGATGCTGACATGGATTTAACTGCTAGTGAAATAAGCAAAATTGTTACAGTTTCAACGGGCACTAAAAATAAAAGCAATAAAAAATCAAATGATTGTGAAATAAAAACTTTCAGAAAAGTGAGGGATTCAAGCTCTGAAAAAAAGAGAGAAAGATCAAAGAGACCATTTAAAAATAGTTCAGATATCAATATCGAGGAAAAGATTGAAAATGGACCAGAAAAAAGATCAGTTATCTTGAATGGCAAAGGGGATTCAGACGATCCAAATTTTATGTTCAATACTGAGCAGCTGACTCAGTTGAACATACTGAAGAAAGTAACCCTTCATGATGACTTTGATCAAGATAAGAGACAAACTACACAGTGTAATAAAAAAAAGAAAATGCATGTAACAAATGAGCAAGAAGAAGCATACTCTTTCTCTCAAAGTTTAGATAAATTCCATCAGGAGAGTAAATTTAGTATGGGTCAGAGTTCTCTAGCTTGTCATAAAAGTAAAGCTTCTAGACAGACTGTGATTTCTAAGTTAGAAAATGATAACTTACTCTCAAACCAAAAGAATAAAGAAACCACTTCTGAAAACCCAGAAGTCACAAGTGAATTTCAAACAGCTGATCTTTCCACTAAAGATAATGAAAGTTTATATGATTATGAGGCCCAGAATATGTCAGATTTGAAAAAGCATGTCCCTGATATGCAGCCTGCTCAGCAAAATGAATCAAAAATAAATGAGAAGCTTAGGCAGAAAATAAATCGGAAGACAGAAATAATTTCTGAAACAAACCAAATATATAGGGATAGTGCTAAAGTTGTGCATGGCCCAGGAGAAGGTAACTTCTCCTTCCAAACCCAAGTGAATAAAGAAATTATTAGAAACCTAAAAGCTTCAGATGAGTTTCAAAAACCTGCTCTTTCCACCATTGATAATGGAAATTTATATAATTGTGAGATCCAAAATGTATTGGATTTGCAAAAGCAGATCACTGATGTGTACCCTGTTCAGCAAAATGAATCAAAAGTTCATAATCTTAGGCAGAAAGTAAATCGGAGGACAGAAATAATTTCTGAAGTGAATCATTTAGGTAATGATAAGAATGTGTATTGCCCAGAAAAGGGTAATTCTTTCTTCCTAAGCCAGAAGGATAAAGAAATCGTCCCTGAAAATCTAACAGACCCAAGTGAGTTCCAAACACCTGCCCTTTCTACCAAAGATAGTGGAAGCCTGTATGATTATGAGACTCAAAATGTTCTGAGAGTAGAAGAGCATGTCTGTGGTATGCAACCTGCTTGTCAGAATGAATCAAAAATAGGTAAGAAGCTTAGGCAAAAGGTATGTCAGAAGACAGAAATAATTTCTGAAATCAACCGAGTATATGAGAATGATGACAAAGGTACACATGACCCAGAAAAAGATAACTTACTTCCTCTTAACCAAAAGGAAAAAGAAATCATCCCTGAAAACCTAAAAGACTCAGATGAGCTTCAGAAAGCCGATCCTTCCAACAGAGGTGATAGGAACCTATGTCATTATGAGACTCAAAACATTTTGGGGGTGAAAAAGCATGTTACCGATATGCCACCTACAAAGCAAAATGAATCAAAAATAAATAAGAGGCTTAGGCAGAAAGTAAGTCGGGACACTGAAATAATTGTGGAAATGAACCGGGCAAATGAGTTTAAAAAAAAAGATATTCATGACCCAGAAGAAAGTAACTTCTTTTCTCTAAATCAAACAGGTAAAGAAACTATTTCTAAAAACCTAGAAGTCACAAGTGAATTACAAACAGCTTGTCTTCCCACTCCCAATAATGGAAATCTATATGATTATGAGGCACAGAATGTGTTGGGTTTGAAAAAGCATGTGACTGATAAGCAACCTTCTCAGCAAAATGAATCAAAAAATAAGAAACTTAGGCAGAAAGTAAATCAGAAGACAGCAATAATTTCTGAAAGGTATGAAATATATGGGGATAATGATAAAGATGTACAGGATCAAGAAAGCTATACAAAAGATCTTGCTTTTCAAGTAAATAAATCTAAACAAAGACTTGAATGCCAAAGTATTATCAGTGGATACTCTATGGAAATAGATAGTAATGAAAAGGAAAATTGTGACCAAGCTTCAAATCCTTATAAATTAGTTAAAAAGCATGGGAAAGAATCATCAGGCAAGTCAAAGATTTTGGCAAAAGGTAAAAACAAATGTATTTCACAGTTACCAGATTCTTTACAGACATCTGTCTCCTTAGAATCAGGTTTAAAATATATTACTAATGAAGCAGATTCTGATCCTGATAAGCACATGGACCTACAGGAGAATCTGAAGCAAAGCCCTACAACTCTGAATGAAAAAAGAGATAACCCCTTTGTGGAAGTGGTAAAAGAAGAAGAGTGCCAAGTCAGAAAAGTAAACAAAACATCATCTAAATCAAAGAAAAAGAAGATCATCTATCCTTCTTCAGATAGCCATAAGGTAATGCAGATAATATCTGACACTGACCCGGGAATATCAGTTGAATCTGGACAAGATGCTAAGGAAAAAATTTCAGAAAATGAGGAAGTTGTCAAAATGAAGCCAGAGTTTTACACAAAGACATTTCAATCTTTTTCTCAGGTATATTCACCTAACATACAAGATTCTTCCTTTAAGAGTGCTCATGAGGATTCAGTCCCTCTGAGTATTTCTCCTAGTAAAAATTTGATGATAAAAGAAAATTTTGCCCTGGAGAGCTCACCAATCTTTCAAATAAGTGGTGATGTACATGAGAAGATGAAAGGGATGAAATTCAACCAGAGAACACAAAAATCAGGAATAGGTAGGTTAATGGCTGAAATGATCAAGTTTTAGAAGTATTTTCTTTTTTCAAACCAGCAAAGTAGTATTTTGTTATAACTGATATTTTTATGGAGTTAAAAACAGTATTTAGCTGTGTAACCTGGTATATAGAAACTACAAAAATTTTAAAGAAAGTGTACTATTTTAGGAAAGATAGCAGAGTAGTGTCTTGGATATTTAAAACCTAAAAAACACATTTGGCCTTTACCACAAAGTTGTCTGATTTGGAGTTTTAGAGGATTAAAAAATCAGTAATATCAACTCCCTTTCCTCAGAATGCATGTTTCAAAATAGCAAACAACAAATAGATGGTAAATGTGATAAATGCTCTAATAAAAGCATACATGTGCTAACACATATATTGGGAGTGATTTGGACAAGAGGACATGAAATATGTAGCATTTTAGGCCCTAAAGGATAGGTAGGATTTTTATCTTTAGTGTTTACTTTTTATTTTCTCCCAGTTATTAAAATAATACTCATTGCAGAAAATGGAAAGTAGAAAATCAGGAAATTGTAGGAAAAACAATCACCCAGAAGAACTGCAGTCAGCATTTTGGCATGTGCATACAGAGTTCAATCTATGGAATTTAAATATATGCCTGAAGTCATGCTGTATGTAACATTACTTATCCCATTTTTTCCCCTTATACATCCAAAGGATATTCTCTCATTATTAGAAATTTTATGACGTTGGACTTTCCCATATCAGTCAAAATTTTCTACTGGGTGACTTAACATTTGAATATATATGTATGTAGAATACTAGAAATTTTTTCCCATTTTGAGAAATAATTGACATTACTGTATAACTTTAAGGCATACAGCATGATGATTGGATTTACATGTATTATGAAATGGTTACCACAGCAGGTTCAGATAATATCCGTCATGTCATATGGATACAGTAAACAGAAAAGAAGAAAAAAGCTTTCTCCTTGTGATGAGAACTCCTAGGATTTACTCTCAACTTTTTTTTTTGAGAGAGAGGGTGTGGGGTTGAGGAAGAGAGGGAAAGGGAGAAAGAGAATCCATCCTAAGCAAGCTCCACACCCAGCAAGGAGCCCAGTGTGGGGCTTGATCTCACAACCCTGAGATCATGACCTGTGCCTAGTCAAGAGTCAGATGCTCAGCTGAGCCACCCAGGCGCCCCCTCTTAACTTTCTTATATATCATAAAGCAGTGTTAGCTGTAGTCATCAGGTTGTACATTGCATCCCTAGTACTTATTTATCTTATGATTGGACGTATGTACCTTTTGACTGCTTTCCTCTTATTCCCCCTTTCTCCACCCTCTGTCACCTCTGGTAATCACAAGTCTGATCTCTTTTTCTGGGTTTGGGTTTTTGGTTTTTGGTTTTGATTTTTTTGTTTTGTATTGTTCCCTGATGTAAATGAGATCCTACAGTATTTTTCTGTGTATGACTTATTTCACTTAACATAATGCCTTCAAGATCCATCTGTGTTATCTCAAATAGTAGGATTTCCTCATTTTTTTATGTCTGAGTAATATGCATATAATATTAATCTACATGTACACACATGCCCCAACTTCTTTATCCGTTCATCCATCCATGGACACTTAGATTGTTTCTATGTCTTGACTATACATAACGCTGCTATGAACATGAGGGTACAGATATCTTTTCAAGTTAGCACTAGGATTTTGATAAGGCTATTCCACGTAAAATGAATACTAAAGCAAAAGTGCAAAAATCCAGAGTTCTAGTACATGATAGAGGACTGGTCAGCCATCTTGCATCTCTGTTCCTCATGGTACCTTTCATAGAGTAAGCAATCGATACAAATGTTGAATGAATGTGTAGTAATTTGTATGATTCTGTGACTAGAGTTGACCTATAAAGAATTTTTATCAGCCTATATGTGATTTCAGAATAAAAATGTTATAATCTACTTTGATAGTTTAAAATTTTAAGTCTCTTTTCCCCTCATTTTGAGGAGAAAAACTTATTCACAAATAATTTCATTGCTTTTATAGTATTTAAAATTATAGCTTGATTATTGTTATATTTAAAAATGTGCTACCAGCAATTTGTAAACCACTATATCCCATATCTATTTCTACATAGAGATATCCCATATATCCCACATTTATAAGTATTTGTGAAAATAATATTCTTTGCAGGCTGTAGAACACTACAGGACTTGACAAATACCAATTTTGTTTCAAATAATGCTGTTAAAGCTGAAAATAAGTCAGAAAATCCATCTTTAGAACCACCAAGCCGGAGAAGAAGGTGTACTCCTCTTTTTTTAAAGGAGCCAAATCTCAAAAGGTAAGTATTTCAGTGATATTAAAGTGATTTCAGTGTGATATTATAAACTATGTGCTTTAAAAGAAATTCCTGCCTGATGAGTTAGTATTTGAACACTTCTCAATATCGGTATATTTTTGACATACAATAATCACAGTATAATCTGGGTAAGATTTGAAGAAATGTCTTCTTTTATTCTTTAAACGGGCTTTGTAAAAAAACTTTGTTGCCTATGATTTGCAAACCACTATTTCTATGTCTCCTGTCTTCATTTGTACTCTTCCTTGTTCCCTAGAGGAATTCAAAGTGGCTTATTTGTTCTTTGGCCTTAAAGAATAATAGTCTTTTTATTTCTCTTTTTTAAAATTTCAAACACAGGGTGCCTGGGTGGCTCAGTCAATTAAGTGTCCAACTCTTAATTTTGGTTTCGGTCATGATCTCAGGGTCATGAGACCGAGCCCCAGTTGGGCTCCGTGCTCAGCGGAGAGTCTGCTTGAGATTCTCTCTCTCCCTCTGCCCCTACGTGTCCCCATGCGTGTATGTACTCTTTCCCTCTCTCTAAAATAAATAAATCTTTAAAAAATATATCAAACCTCAACAAAGGGAAAATAGTACTCTTCCTACTTATCCATCCTGAGCTTCAACTGTTACCAGTATTTTGCCTTATATATTTTATCTATCCTTTTTTGTTGTAGTATTTTTGTTGTTGTTGTTGTTGTAGTATTTTTATTTTTTTTTATTTTTTTTTATAAATTAATTTTTATTGGTGTTCAATTTACCAACATACAGAATAACACCCAGTGCTCATCCCGTCAAGTGTACCCCTCAGTGCCCGTCACCCATTCACCCCCACCCCCCGCCCTCCTCCCCCTCCACCACCCCTAGTTCATTTCCCAGAGTTAGAAGTCTTTATGTTCTGTCTCCCTTTCTGATATTTCTCACACATTTCTTCTCCCTTCCCTTATATTCCCTTTCACTATTATTCATATTCCCCAAATGAATGAGAACATACACTGTTTGTCCTTCTCCGGTTACTGTGGCCAAGTTCAAAAAGGGTGTTGCCTGAGTTCTCCTCCGGGATTTTGATGGAATCTTGTCTCACATTTAGATCTTTCATCTATTTTGAGTTTATCTTTGTGTATGGTGCAAGAGAGTGGTCCAGTTTCATTCTTCTGCATGTGGATGTCCAATTTTCCCAGCACCATTTATTGAAGAGACTGTCTTTCTTCCAGTGGATCGTCTTTCCTCCTTTATCGAATATTAGTTGACCATAAAGTTCAGGGTTCACTTCTGGGTTCTCTGTTCTGTTCCATTGATCTATAAGTCTGTTTTTGTGCCAGTACCACACTGTCTTGATGAACACAGCTTTGTAGTACAACCTGAAATCTGGCATTGTGATGCCCCCAGATATGGTTTTCTTTTTTAAAATTCCCCTGGCTGTTTGGGGTCTTTTCTGATTCCACACAAATCTTAAAATAATTTGTTCTAAGTCTCTGAAGAAAGTCCATGGTATTTTGATACGGATTGCATTATACGTGTAAATTGCCCTGGGTAACATTGACATTTTCACAATATTAATTCTGCCAATCCATGAGCATGGAATATTTTTCCATCTCTTTGTGTCTTCCTCAATTTCTTTCAGAAGTGTTCTATAGTTTTTAGGGTATATTTTGAGAACCATTTGAATGGTAAATGGTTCTCCAACCTTTTATTTTCAGGTTGTAGGTGTCCTTCTGTCTAAAATGAGTCTCTTGTAGACAGCAAATAGATGGGTCCTGCTTTTTTATCCAGTCTGAAACCCTGCGCCTTTTGATGGGGTCATTAAGCCCATTCACGTTCAGAGTTACTATTGACAGATATGAGTTTAGTGTCATCATGATATCTATTTAGTCCTTGTTTTTGTGGATTGTTCCACTGAACTTCTTAAAGGGGAGTTTTAAGAGTCCCCCTTAAAATTTCTTGCAGAGCTGGTTTGGAGGTCACATATTCTTTCAGTTCCTGCCTGTCTTGGAAGCTCTTTATCTCTCCTTCCATTTTGAATGAGAGCCTTGCTGGATAAAGTATTCTTGGTTGCATGTTCTTCTCATTTAGGACCCTGAATATATCCTGCCAGCCCTTTCTGGCCTGCCACGTCTCTGTGGAGAGGTCTGCTGTTACCCTAATATGAAAGTCAGGGACTTCTTGTCTCTTGCTGCTTTAAGGATCTTCTCTTTATCTTTGGAATTTGCAAGCTTCACTATTAAATGTCGAGGTGTTGAACGGTTTTTATTGATTTTAGGGGGGGATCTCTCTATTTCCTGGATCTGAATGCCTGTTTCCCTTCCCAGATTGGGAAAGTTTTCAGCTAGGATTTGTTCAAATACATATTCTGGCCCTCTGTCCCTTTCGGCGCCCTCGGGAACCCCAATTAAACGTAGGTTTTTCTTCCTTAGACTGTCATTTATTTCCCTTAATCTGTCTTCATGGTCCCTTAATTGATTGTCTCTTTTTTCCTCAGTTTCCCTCTTTGCCATTAACTTGTCTTCTATGTCACTCACTCGTTCTTCCACCTCGTTAACCCTCGTCGTTAGGACTTCTAGTTTGGATTGCATCTCATTCAATTGATTTTTAATTTCTGCCTGATTGGATCTAAATTCTGCAGTCATGAAGTCTCGTGAGTCCTTAATGCTTTTTTCTAGAGCCACCAGTAGCTGTAGAATAGTGCTTCTGAATTGGCTTTCTGACATTGAAGTGTAATCCAGATTTTGTAACTCTGTGGGAGAGAGGGCTGTTTCTGATTCTTTCTTTTGAGGTGAGGTTTTCCTTCTAGTCATTTTGCTCAGTGCAGAGTGGTCAAAAACAAGTTGTATTGGAACACGGGGGAGTATCACTGGTCCGTCCAGCTGGTCTTCTGGGGGAGGGGCCTGCTGTGCTGATTTTCAGGTGTTAGCACTTGGGGGAGCTGCTCTGCCCCTGCCTGCTGCCGGGCTCAACGGGGGTTGTTTACCCCGTGAGGCCCCAGGAGGAACAGCAGCAGTTGCTATGGCAACTCTGGAAGCCTGGATTTAGCCTCCGCAGGAACTACGGGGCTCGGGGCTCTCGGTTCTCTGTCCGCAGGGCCTGGAGGCTCCGGGGCGGGGCCGCTGATCTGCTCAGCTCGGGGCAGGAGCGTCCTCGCTGTCCTGGGCCCTCCCGGCCTCTGCCTGTCCCGGGGGAGGCTGGATCCTGGGCTGTGTCCCGGCGCCCTGTGCTCCGGGGCCTGCGCTGTTGGATTCGCGCTCCCGCCCTGCAGCTCCCTCCCTGGAGCCGCTCCCGAGCCCCTCCGAGCTGCTCCGGTCGGTCCCGCCGTGCCGCTGCAGCCCTTAGGGAGCTCGGCGCACTCTCCCGGGGCGCAGGTGTCTGTTAGTGTCCCAGGGAGCCCGAGGGCATCCCCACTCTCCTGGGTCCTGCTCCAACTCCCTGCGAGCCCCTTTCCGCCCGGGAAGGTTGGTGCAGCTCCTGCTCCTCCGGGACGGGGCTCTCCTGTCCTGGGGACACTCGCCCCGGCCCTAGCCCGGCTCCTCGCGGGGCTCCTCCCCCTCGGAGGCCTTTTGTTTCTTTATTTCTTTTTCCCCGTCTTCCTACCTTGATAGAAGCGCGGACTCTTCTCACTGTAGCATTCCAGCTGGTCTCTCTTTACATCTCAGGCCGAATTCGTAAGTTTTCAGGATGGTTTGAAGCTTATCTAGGTAATTTGGTGGGGACAGGTGATTTGGGGACCCTGCTCTTCCGCCATCTTGCCCCTCCCCTGTTGTAGTATTTTTAAAACAAATCCCTAATATTGGGTCATTTAATTCCAAAAATACTTCTGTGTGTATCTCTTTTAAAAAGGAACTTCTTAACAAAACTAGATAACAGTAATCACTCAATTATCTGGCAACAATGAATTAGCAACAATTTCTTACTGTCAACTACCCAGTAGCCAATCCCTATTCAAATTCCCTTAATTATTTAAAAAAAATGTCCAAATGCCTTTTACATGTGTTCTATGGAAAATCTCACTTTTTTTAAAGAATAAATGAAGGAGCCTGTTTTGCAGAAACCAATCATATTTTCAAAAAGAGAGAAAACTATCCTTAAATTTTCTTATCCTTTGCATTGTGTCAGTACTTACTTCTTTTATAAGATGAAAGGCATTGATGGTTCTGACAGATATTTTGAAGCAATAACAGGTATGGAGCACTGCTAGTGGGAAAGCCAAAGGATACAGCTATTTTGCAAGACAGCTTGGTGGTCTTACAAAATTAAGGTACCCTTACCATACAGTCCAGCAGTCACACTCCTTGGTCTTTACCCAAAGGAGAAAACATGTCCACACAAATATCTGCACATGGATATTTATGGCAGCTTTATTCACATTACTAAAACCAGTAAGCAACCAAGATGTCCTTCAGTGGGTGAATGGAGAAATAAACTATGATATATCTAGACAATGGAGTATTACTCAAAGCTAAAAAGCATTGAGGTACCAAGCTATGAAAAGACAAGGAGGGCCATAAATACAGTTTACTAAGTAAAAGAAGCCAATCTGAGAAAACTACTTATTGTATAATTCCAAGTATATGACATTCTGGAAGAGGTGAAGCTATGAAGACAGGAAAAAATCACTGTTATCTGGTAGGGATAGGGGAGACAGATGAATTAGGTAGAACATGGAGGATTTTTAGGGCAGTGAAAATACTCTGATATTATGATGATAGATACATGTCATTACACATTTGTCCCTACCCTTAGAATGTACAATACCAAGAGGGAACCCTAAGTACACCATAGGCTTCAGCTAATTGTGATGTGTTAGTGTGGATTCATCCTTGATCCAGTATATACAATGCCTGTGAGTAATTGACAGTGGGGACGGCTGTGTACAGGTAAGGGCAGAGGGCATGGGGGAAATCTCTGTACCTCCCTCTCAATATTATTGCAAACCTAAAACTGCTCTAAAAAAAATAAAGTCTTAAAACACACACACACACACACACACGATAGCAATACAAAGGAGGGTAAAACAGAAACAAAATGAAATAAAAGATCAAGTGGTTTTTTAAAAAAACAACTGTCAAGCTGTAATTCACATACCATACCTATCATCATAAAACTTCAGAAAGAAACCCCATGCCCTTTGTGTGTCGTTCCCATACCCACCACCCTGCCCCCAGCCCTAAGCAACTATTCACCCACTTCCTATCTCAATAGATTTCCCTGTTCTGGATATTTCATATGAATGGAGTCATGTAATATGTGGTCTTTGTGACTGTCTTCTTGCAGTTACCATATGTTTCTAGGGTTTATCCGTTCATTATATATATCAGTATTTCATTTCTTTTTAGGACTGAATTAAATTCTGTTATATAGATAATAACCACATTTTGTTTATCCACTTGTCTGTCAAAGGATGTTTGGTTGTTTCCATCTTTTGGTTATTATGAATAATGCTGTTATATCATTTGCAAGTCTTTGTGTCTACATAGGTTTTCTTTTCTCTTGGATATATGCCTCCTTATGGAATTCCTGGGTCATATGGTAACTCTGTTTAATCATTTGAGGAACTGCTTAGACTATTTTCCAAAGCTGCTGTCATTTTACATTACCACCAATGATGTATGACGGTTCTGATTTCTTTAATTCCATGCCAACACACTTGTTATTATTTGGCTTTTTGATGATTCTAACCATACTAAGTGGGTGTAAAGTAGTATAGAAAGTTTTGACCTGAGCTCTCTGATGACTGATGATGTTGAGCATCTTTTCATGTACTCATTGGCCATTTGTGTATCTTCTTACACAAATGTAAGAGTGTAAGGCTCAGTCAGTTAAGTGTCCGAGTCTTGATCTCAGGTCAGGTCATGATCTCAAGGCTGTGAGTTCAAATCCCGAATTGGGCTTCACGCTGGCAGGAAGCGAAGGAAGAAAGGAGGGAGGTAGAGAGGTCAGTCTATTCAGATCTTTTTCCCTTTTTTAAATTGGTTGTCTTTTTTTTTTTTATTGAGTTGAGAGTTAAATTTTTTTATATTAATCTAAACTTAGACTTAGCAAAGAGTTATAAAAATAGCACAAAGGTTCCTCTCCCAGCTTTCCCTTATTTTAGCACCTTACCCACAGTACAATGATCAAAATTGGAAAATTAGCATTGGTATAATACTATTAACTAAACTATAGATGTCCATTAACATCTTTTGCTGTTTTAGAATCCTATCCAGGATCCCACCTTGCATATCGTTGTTTCTTCTTAGCCTCCTCCATCCTATGACAGTTCTTCATTTCTTCCTTTCCTTTTATGACTTTGACACTTTTGGAGACTATTGGTCAATTATTTTGTAGAATATCCCTCAGTTTTGTCTGATGTTTTTTCTTTTTTTGTGTGTGTTTGATTTTTTTTTCATCATTACAAAGCAGTTATGCATTTTTGGCAAGAATTCTACAGAAATGGTGTGCCGTTTGCATCATTTTAAGGGGTTTATCATGTCAGGATGTCTCAATAATGTTAACTTGGATCACTTGATTGAGGACCATGGTGTCTACTGGGCTTTTTTCACAGTAAATTACCATCTTTTCCTTTATAGTTAATGGACACTGGGGGATCTTATTTGTCACCATGCATCCTATTTTTCGTCAAACATTTGCTTGCTAATTTTAGCATCCATTGATGGATCTTGCCTGCAACAGTTATATTTCTGCCTAATAGTGGCTTTCTGTTTCTCTCTTTCCTTCAACATTTATTAGAATTCTGTAAGGAAGAGCTGTCCTTTCTCTCTCCTTCCTTCCTTTCCTCCCTCCCTCCCTCCCTTCCTCCTTCCGTTAGTTAGTTAGTTAGTTAGTTAGTTAGTTAGTTAGTTAGTTAGTTAGTTGTGTTTATTCTATCAGTTAAAATCTAATACTATCAATAGTTATTCCATTGCCCAGATTATTCCAGCTTGGCAATTAGGAGTTCCTTCAGGGTGGCTTCCTTCTGTGTTCTTTCAACAAGACTTCATAATATTTTGAGCACTTCCTTCTTTTCTGACACAAGATGTTCCAGGCTTATCTTAGTGTTTTTCCTGCCCCAGCCACCAAATCAGGTACTTTTGCAAAGAACCCAGTTCCCCTGAAGAATTGTGTTTAGAAACCAAGATCTGGGCATTAGTTATTTGTACTATGTATATAGTGTTATATTAGCTATTGCTGCACAACAGTTGTTATCTATAAACCTAATAGCCCAAAACAACATCCATTTATTATCTTTCCATTTCTGTGGGCCAGGAATCTGGACTAGCACACTGAATTAGGTACTCTATGGCTCAGGCCATGATCCTGGGATCCGGGATTGGAGATCAAGTCCTCCCTGCGTGGAGCCTGCTTCTCCCTCTGCCTTTGTCTCTGCCTCTCTCTCTCAGTCTGTGTCTCTCATGAATAAATAAATAAATCACGCAAGTATATTTCCTTGTAGTTACAGGACTGAGGGCCCCAGCTTCTTGCTGTTGGCTAGAGGCTATCCTCAACTCCTAGAGGCCACTCTCAGCTCCTTGCCAAGTGGGCCTCCCAAAATGGCTACTTATTTCAAAACTAGCTAGAAAGTCTCTAGAGAAAATCCTTTAGCAGATAGATTACTATAAAATGAAACGTAATCTTAGAAGTGAGACATTCTATCACCTTTGCTATCTTCTATTGGTTAGATTGAGTCACACAGTTCCTTAAAGAGGCAGTTATACAAGAGCATGAACACCATCCTGAGTGTGGTGGCAGGGATCCTTCTTAGGGTCTGGCCACCACCACCAATACCAGGGGATATTGCTGTTAGTTAGGTCCTCTCAGCCGACAGAGCTAGGAAACATACACATGCATACTAATCCATGCATACACACACTTTTATATTTCTCTATCTGTATATTAAGTAGAATCCGTGATGAGTTCATATATTGATAACCTCTGATTCAAAACTACAGCGTTCATTTTTGCTTTACTTATTCATAATTTCTTCATCAGTGAGAAGGCTGCCTCTCATTATAAGGAAACAAAAGCCAAACCCCACCTCACCCCCACCCCCCAAACATATCTATTAGCTAGAAGAGAAGAAGAAAGCAAGCTCTTATCAGAGACTGAATGAGAGCAGGAACACAGAAAAGGTAGGTGGACTCTGAGACTGGCTTTTGCCTGAAGGCATTTACCAAACGAGGTGAACCTAAGTATTGAATTCACAGTATTATGGGGCTGGGGCAGAAGGTATATCCCAGGGTTTAGCTAAAATAAAGTCTAATAGTAGATCACCTTCAATAAAGTTGAGCTACCCTCTCAGTAGGAGAGCAAACTAAAAATAACCTTCCCATCAGCTTTTTTAAGCCCCAGGAAATAATTCTGGCACTGAATTGAGAAGGAAAGAAATCTTCTGAGAATTCATAATCAAAATCAAACTCTCATGCATTGCAGCTGGAATTTACAATTATCTGGAAGTCACAGAAAACCTTAAGCTGAAAATTTATATTAGTCCATGAATTGTAGTGCCCCCTGTTGTCCATCAGAAGCAAATGCAAATATTTTCTAGAGTTCTTCTCAGTCCTCAACAAATTTTCCACAGGTTGAATTCCCAGGGAAATAAAACAGATCACAGTAAACAAACAGGTACCAGCAGAAACAACTGATAGAATTAGATACAGAATGTAAAGTGTGAGTATTTAATGTTTCAGTGAAGGAGAGACTTGGAAATGAATAAAGGTGTTTAGAAAAACACCTTTACTATGAAGAAAAGCAAGGAAGAGATGAACACAGTTCAGGATAGCAGTTACTTGTTGGGGAACAACAGGGACATGATCAGAAAGGGGCACACTTGAGGCTTCTGAGGTGTGGTAGTATTTTATTTCTTACCTAGGTGATAAGCACATCATTTAATTACTGTTTTTAAGTTGTACATTTTCATATATTCTATGTATGCTGAAGTTCATAATAAAAAGGAAATATATAGTAAAACATAAAAATCTAAGCTGGTCAATTTTTCTTAAACCTTATTTTATAATTCCTACTATCATAGAGTATTCCAGATATATGATGCATCAATTTTCTTCTCCATGCTTCATAGCAAAAGCATCACCTTTGAGTTGTTAGTATTTTTCATCTTCCTTTTTTTTTCCTACTTTGCAGGAAGATGAGAAGATAAGATGTATTTATGGATTCTGGTTTTTTTTAATTCAAACCATACCAAGTCAAAACAGGGATATAACAAGATTCCAGAAGATGAGATGAATGCACGATGGAAGCTTTTTTCTGCTCCTCCTTTTCATGAGTATTAATTTATCCATTCTTATGTTTACATATATGTGTTTAAGATAGCTATTTTGTAATATTAAACTTCTGAAGTCATTTGGTCATCCTATAACTTATCTTCCTGTTTTTGTAAGCTTCTTTCGACCTGACAGCCTTTGACTAAGTAAAAGCTGTTAACCTTTTAACCAAATAAAATGTGTTGTAAATATTTTTGCATTGGTTATCTTGTTGCATACCAAGCTATCTTGTTTTGTTGTGTTTTTAAACCATCCAATATATTTGAACACCTAGAAGATTTTAAAAGCTGCCTTGTGCCCTTGGCCAGTTTTCTGGGACCCTTCCTTCTTACACCTCAGAATTACCTGTTAGGTATCAGTTTCTGTATTATTTCCATTCTGTGTAATCTGATGACTTGACTGAGGGGCTTAACCTTTCAGGCTCTTTTAAATTTGGTTTTTCTAACTTTATTTTAAAAATCACTTACTATACTAGTAGAAAGTAAGAAATCCTATTCAGATCTGATAAGATCAATGAACATAACTTACTCTGTTCAAGTGACAAGTCAAATTCTATTGTGCCTAGGTAGAAAAGCTTGCTTAGATAATGTCTGACAAATGAAAGGGTAGACTCAGTGTTTTTAAAAAACACTTCAGATTATCCTGGGGCAGACTGTCCCAGGACCAAACTTTGAGGAACTGCTGTAGGAGTGCAAAGTCCCATGGAACTTACTCAAAATGTTGACAATGTGGGTTGAATGGAGAAGCCTTCTTAAAGGAACAGTTTATACAATGATTAAGAGCTTGGCACCCTGACAGTCTTTGTTCTCTTTCCTGCAGACCTATTACTTGGAGACTATGGACCTCCTAGAGTTACTCTCCAGTATTACATTTTTTTTCCTATTGCTTATTTCTATTTTTCCTCCTTGCAAATTGTTTTTCAATTTATGTAGCCAAATTTATCAACTTTTATTGCTGGTGGAATTTGGTCACAGTAAAAAACTATTTTCCTACTTCCAAACATTTACCCATGGTTTCATTGTGTTCTTACATTTAAATTTCTGACTCATGTGGATTTTTTTCTATTATATGGGATATGAATGCAATTCCAACCTTTTTCCAAATGATTCCCCATTAATTAGAAGGTCCATGTTTCCCACTATTGATTTGAAATGCCACCCTTTTTTATGTTGTATTTCCATGTGCACTTAAATTTATTTCTCCATTTTCTGTTTTATTAGTCTGTGTGTGTGTTTATGCCCCACTATCATCCTCTCTAGACGTTAGGGGGAGTTTCAAAGTTTCCCTCCTAGAACTTTTACATACTTCTTAATAAGTTTATGCTTAGGTATTTTATTTTTTTTCTTGGTAACATAAATGGGACCTACCCTTTGATTCTCTTACCTAATTATTATTTGCATATATGTGTTGATTATTGATTTCTGTATGTTAATTATACCCATTGTTTGTAGTACTTTCCAGACATATGTCCTGAAAACTAAGCTATCTTTTACCTCTTTTTTTTTCCTTCCAAATCTTATTCCTCTCATTGCTTTCTTTTGTCTAGTTAATTGTATGCCTGCTACGTTAAGTAGCATGTTAAATGGTAGTGAGAAGACTAGGTATCCTTGTATTGTTACTGATTTTCATGGGAATGCCTCTGGTTTTATCCTAATAAGTAAGATACTGGATTTTGAGCTGGTTATGTATAATTCATAATCACATTAAAATATTGCCTATCAATTATTTTATTGAGTGTTTTTTGTAAAAATCGCGCATGAGTGTTGAATTTTTGTCAAGTGACTTCTGGCATAGATAGAGATTGTATGAGTCAGGGTCTAGCCAAGAGAGAGACCACACTTATTTTATAAATTGTTAGCCACATATTAGAGAGCTAAACAAGAGCTAAAAAGGCAAAAGGGACCACTCTAGTGTCATAGAGGAAGTAACTATGGGAGGTATCTCAGGGGCTGGGGAACAAAGAAAAAAGGATGGAATTTCTGAAAGCTGAAGGCTTGGAGAAAGTTCCAGGGTTCAGGGCAGGTGTACAGGGGGCAGTGCTGTTTCCCTTGAGAGTGGTGACAGGCCTGGCCTGATAATGTGGAAAAGCTGCATACTGGACTCACCTGTTGTTTCTGAAGTCACTCATTCCTGCAAGGGTGGGTCATTCCTGTGATGATGCTGGCAGGAGCAAGAAGCAAATGGGAAGGAACACGTTTCTTCCCCCCTCCACCCCCCCACCCCCACCTGCAGTTTGCTTCTATCTCTTCATATTGCCAAAGACTGAAAGGGAGCCTGGCAAACCTAAAAATGGGGTTTGCAAAGGCCTGGCTTTAACAAAGTGGAGTGAGATGTGGATTTGAAGCTGACACATAACAGCTTAATAATTAGTACCATGATATGTGATGATTCTCCTTTGATATATTCATAGAACAAACTATATTCACTTAATTTGTTAATACTATAACATTCTTAACTTTCATGGAATAAATTCCACTTTTTAGTATGTGCTAGCGATTGTCTCTCACCTCCAAGCCCATCTCTACAATTTGCTATGTGATGCTGGAACTCTACAAATCATATATTTTCTTTGCTAGATGACCTTTTAAGCTTCTTTCAAACAAGGGATGATAGAAACAAAATCAGAAAGAGGGGACAGGACTTGCTGTTCCTTGTTTGCCTGCTTTACCTATCAGCGTCACCTCAGCCATGGTGATGTACTCCGGGGCAGCAGTTGGTTTGTCACCAGTTGGTTTAGCATTCCTAGAACCGGCCTCATTACACCCCCATGGAGGTACTAGCACTCCTTGGGCCCTGCCCTCTCATAGGCCTCAGGCCTCGCTCCTCAGAGAGTCTCCTTCAGGCTCCCAACGTGTCACAGCCATCTGTGCCACAAGCCATCTTTGAGAAGAGTTCCTACTCCTGGATGCTCTTTATTTCCTAGCTCCTGAAGTATTAAACAGTGGCTGAGCAGTGGCCTCTTCCTCAGTCGCCGAGGTTCTACTTTCCAGTAATCCAAGCCTCTTCCTCTTATTACCCAGCTGGTTCCTGGGTACCTTGATGGAGGGAGTGCAAGATGATACAAACTTTATAGAAAAGATTTTGACAGTATCTAGCACAATTATACAGGCATACACAATCATACAACCCTGTAGTCTCACTTTTAGGAAACTAATGAAAATTTTCTTGAAAAAATACAAAACTTTCACAGGCTCCTGGGTGGTTAAGTTGGTTGAGTGTCCAACTCTTGATTTCCGCTCAGGTCATGATCTCAGGGTCATGAGGTCAAGCCCCACATCAAGCTCCACATTCAGCAAGAAAGAATTCTGCTTGGAATTTTCTGTCCCACCACTCTGCCCTTTCTCTCTCTCTCTCTCTCTCTCTCTCTCTCTCTCTCTCTCTCCCTCTCTCTAAAATAAATACATCTTTAAAAAAATGTTTCACTCTGTATCGTTTGCAACAGCAAAAATGGAAAAGGAATAATCTAAGTAACATCACTAGAAGACAGCTAACTCGAAAACCAACTGAAATGAATGAAAAAAGCTATCAAATTGGTGACAAACACTCAAATCTTACAAAAGGTATTTTGAATTTGTATCTTTATTAGGGTATAGTCTAAGGGTAAAAAGAACTATCACAAAATCTTAAACTTTCATTTACTAGTCTCATTGCTGATATAATATTGATGCAGCTACTTTGAAATCTAAGGACAGATTAAAGCTATTAGATTTCAGAATCTTGCAGAAACTTCATAATCTGGTTGCAGAATCAAACTCTGTAATCTTAAATCTCAATTAGAAATATTAGCGTGAACTCGTGCTTTTTCCACTTTAAAAAAAGTTATGAATGGTCTAGCTCTGTCCACTAATGATGTCTAGAAACAGTGACAACTAAGTAGCAATGAGTACTTCTAGCATCTAGATTGTGGTTTCTAAATACTATTTCCCGTCACAGAAACCAGGGCTCTTTGGAGAAATTGCTGATTCCTAGTTTGCAAAAGGATATAAACAAGGTGAGCCAGGGATGTCTTGTTCCAGAAAACAAGGACATTGTTAAAAATGAATGTGAACATATCAAAAAGACACGAGTTCCAATTTGAAGGTGCTTCCATTGGTCTAAGATGGGACAAACTGAACATTAGTATGAAAGATTGTAACTGATTAAAACACATTATACAAAAGTCACAAATTCATAATGATACTCAAAAGAAACAAAAACATTGGATGCTCTGAAAATGTGTAAAAGAAAATAATAAAGATGTATTTTGCCTTTCAGGTATTAATTCTATTTGTGCATAGTCAATGGTCTCGTGAATAGTGATACTTCTGTTCAAAACGATCTCAGCTGAAGAATGCTGAAGGAATGTTAGAATTAGGAAAATTACTATTTTGTGACTCCTAATAAAATAACTGCTTCAGACAGTGGTCAGCAACGGTTGGCAAAACCACGAGATGAGATGTTGATGGAGAAATTCATTAGGAAGAGATAACCCATCGAACCCACCGATCAATCTTAGCATCATTAAGAATGAGACAACTGGGGACGCCTGGGTGGCTCAGTGATTGAGCATCCGCCTTTGGCTCAGGGCGTGATCCCAGGATCCGGGATCCAGTCCCACATCAGGCTCCTTGCAGGAAGCCTGCTTCTCCCTCTGCCTGTGTCTCTGCCTCTCTCTCTCTCTCTTTCTCTGGGTGTGTCTCATGAATAAATTATTAAATAAAATCTTAAAAAAAAAAAAAGAATGAGAACTGGACATCGTAAGCCTCCTGGTGTGCTGCAATGCAAAGTGTATGGCGCCACCTGCGAAGTATTCTTATTACCTCCCCAACTCCAAAATGGAACTGGAATTTAATCAAGGCTTTAGATTGATAGGCATGATGTGATTTGAAATTTGGGTCCAGTAGCAAATGGCCAGGAAAGAATTCTTAAGACGTTTTTAGTACAAAAAGGTGATTTTATTATTGCATGAGGACAGGATCTGTGTGCAGAAAGAGCGGCACCTGCGAATGTGAGCAGCGACTGACTATATACTTTTTAGTTTGTGGAGGGAGGCGGGTAGAGAGATCTAAGTTTCTAAGGGATTTCTGTATGCTGAAAGCAGGGTTTTACAGGACCTTGAAGATTTAGCTATTGTCAAGGTTGCTTTTAGTCTAACAGAATATAAACATTGGGGCATTAAGGCAGCCATGACTCCTTGAGGAATGTCAGGCTCTGCACGTCTCAGGTATCTATCAGTATGCTGCAAGCTGTAAGGAGATTTAATTTAAGCCACATTTCTCTTGCTTTGTTTGAGCAAGAGAACAAACTTGTTGTTCTTAACCCTTAAATCTTTACGGTTGTTGAGGGTGGAAGGTCTTATCTTCTGTAACTTCTTCCTGCTGAACAAGGGCATAGAGATGTCCCTACCTATGGGTCAACATGTCCTACATCAGTTGAGGATGTAGGAGTTACAAAAGGCAGAGGCAGCTGAATCTGAGCTAGACAGCATATATGAATCTCCCTGAGTAAAAAGGTCCATCTGTTGATGTGCAGTTACTATAGTGACGGAGTCTCAGCACCAAGCAAAAAAATATTGAATTAAAATAGCTATAAGAAGTCCAACAAAGGGACCCTTTATAGTTGACCGGAAGTAGTCCCCCTCCAAACTAGGAACTTAACCAATCGTTGAAAGAGAGGGAAGGATTTTGTATAGCCTCAATTTGAGTACTCATATTTTCTAGTAGTCCTGTGACGTTTTTATGATATTTTGGGATGTATACACAGCATTCTGTTTTAATAATGGCACATGTACCTCCTTGTGCTGCTGCTAGGACATCTAAAGCCATTCAATTTTGTAGAACCACTTGCACATTTGTGTGACCTCAGTATTAAGAAAGGAGATGATGTTTTATGAATCATTGAGTGCTTTTATGATATATTTATTAAGAGCTTCCATATGCCAAATTATGCTTCCCAGCCCTACAGATGCAAAAAAAAAAAAAAAAAAAAAAAGGATGCCAAATGGTCATACCAATGAAAAACAGATCGCATCCATCTCTGTCTTAAATTGGGAGGATTAGTTGGGTTGGTAATGGTTTTGGTAACTCATCCATGAATCCAGGCAAAAACTAAGGTGCAATGACCTACCCACCCTGGAGGAAGTCAAGGCCATAGGTTAGTTTCACATCACCGATGGGTTCTGTCTGGGGCTAGCCATCTGGTTCCAGGTCACCTTAAACAATCTACAGCAAACCAATCAGTAGGCTAGAGTATAGTGGTTTGATCACGTTTCTTTTTTAAGATTTTATTTATTCATTAGAGATACAAAGAGAGAGAGAGAGATACAGGCAGAGGGAGAAGCAGGCTCCCTGTGGGGAGCCCGATGCAGAACTTTATCCCAGGCCAGGATCCCGGGATCATGACCTGAGAGGAAGGCAGTCGCTCAACCACTAAGTCACCCAGGTGCCCTGAGAACATGTTTCTAATGATAGCCATCCTAAATGGCGTGTGCAATTTGCCCAAGTATCATATGTATGGTTTTTTTGGTCCCAGCACCAGCAAAAAGTTGCCTTTTGACTGAGCTGTCCAATGGTAGACATGAGCAGAAGTATGTATCCCAAATTTGATAAATACCATCCTCAGTATACTGATAAGTAGGATTTTGTAACTCAATGGGCATCAATTTGTGGGCTTGTCAAGTCAGTCAATATTTTAATAGTTTGAGGGTATGAAAAAATC